GGGACTGTGTGCGCCAGAGATCCGGCCGGACTACAATGACCATAATGCACTGGGCGAGCGCGCCGCCGCCGAATGACGCTCAGGAGCAGTAGGGAGGGGCGTTGGGTCGAGTTCCGGTTTTTCTGAATCAGCCTCCGCCGGGAGGGACCCCGGAAACGGTTTTAGCTGTCTTGGCGCATTGAAGGGAGTAGTTGGAAATGCAGGAAGGAGACAAAACTGCCTACACAGCCAGTCCAGTGCCTCACTGGGACCCCTGGAAATTCACTTCTAGAAAGCTTTTATAAATATCTCAAACGAATCTGCGCATCTGTAATCCTAATATTTAGGAGTTGGAGACCGGAGAATCAGGAGTTCGAGGTCAGCCTGAGCTATATGATCCCGTCTCAAAAAACCAGGGAGCTGGTGATGTAGTTCATTTGGTAGATTGATTTCCTAGGATTCATAACGTCCTGAGTTCAGTCCCCAGGAAGGACATGAATCTGGTATAATGCAATGCCAGCGCTCAAGATAGTGGAGGCCTGCGGATCAGAAGTTCTACACTGATAGATTCAAGTCAGTAAATAAGGGGAGTGGAGTTTTTAAAACCTGGTAAGCTCAAACTAAGGTCAAACTGTGTCTAAAAACAAGTCTGCCTCCTAAAACAAAATAATAGCAGACAAGCTGAAAGCCGCCTCAGGAATCCTGTCTGGATAAGCTACCACTCTTGTTTCTCACGAATCCTGGCAAGGTGGTTTTGTTTTTAAATGGTAAGTGTGCCTGTATTACACTTGGGATACAACTTAGATAAGCCCTTAAAATGGAAAGAAAGAAAAAAAAAAGGACTACAAAAGAACTCTGGGAGTAGTGAGGAGGGAGACAGAAAACTAGGGGAGTGCTGAAAACTCAGACAGACGCCACTGCGCCACTGCATTGTGTTGTCACCCATGACGCCAGAACAAAGCCACCGTGTCTCATAGACAACTTATCATACATTCCTTAGAGATCCTTCAGGCCTGCCAACAAAACTACGTTGTAGCAACATCTTATAGCTAGCAAGTTCCAGAGTTAGCAGTTTATTTTCAGAATACAGGAGATCTGAAAAGGATAGAGTTGGAGACATGGTTCAATGATTAAAAGTGCTTTCTTTACAAAATGAGGACCTGAGTTTGCAACAAACTAGGCTTGCCAGTACCACCACTAACTACAACACTGTGTTGTGTGTGTGTGTCTGTGTCTGTGTGGTGGGGAGATAGAAGAATCATTGGGGTTTGTTGGCTCTCAGCCTGAGTGGTGAGGTAGATAACAATGAGCTCCAGTTCATGAGAGATCATACCTCAAAGAAATAACCAGGAATGATAGAAGACATTGATGTTGGCTACTGCACAACATGTCAGTATACATCACACACATGTACACCATACTCACAGAGAATAAACTAGAATTAGAAAATACAATGGCTGGATGAATATTTTTTTTGTCTAGACAATGCCTAGTTATAATGGAGATAGAAATAATTTTAAAGGACACAAAAAAGAAAATAATAAATCCCCATAACAGTGATCAGCATTATCAAATCCCAGGACTCAGAAGTATCTGAGGTATATATCAAATTTCTGGGTTTACATTAGACCTTTGCCCCAAAAACATGAGTTGGTAGAATACTTGCCTAGCTTACAGTGGAGCCCTGGGTTTGGTCCTAGCACCACATTTAATGGCTATGATGGTAAATGGCTGTAATCCTAGCACTCAGTAGAGGCCAGCTTGAGCACCTGAGACCTTGTCTAGAAATAATGGGTGCTGGGTGTGGTGGCACATGCCTGTATTCCCAGCAATCAGAAGACAGGCTGGAGACCTGCACTGAAGACCAGCTTGATATTCATGTGGAGATCTTGTCTTAGAAAAAATTGAAAAGTTGTATAACCCTGAGAGAAGAGTATATATATCTTGGCTCATGGTTTAAGAGATCACAGTCCATCACAGTGGGAAGACAGAGTTCACAGTGGCAGGAGCATACAGCTGCAGCCCCTCATATCTGGAAAGACCTAGAAGCAGAGAGCAGTTTATGCTGGTATTCCTTTCTCAGTTTTTATTAGCCCTAGCTCCTGACCTATGGGATGGTGCTGCTGATGTAAGGAGTGGGTCTTCATCCTTCAGTTTAACCACTTGGGAAACACCATCACAAACTTGTGAAGTGGTGTATGCCCTTACTGATTCCAAATCCAGTGAAGATGTCATGAAAATACACAACTTTCTGAAATAAAAAGTATACAGCAGAAGTGTTCTAATGAAAAGTGTGTGGGGGGGGGCTAGGGACTATGGCTGTCACTAAAGGTTAAACAGGAGATAGTGTAAAGGGGATGTGAGTATGTAAAGTTGGATAACAAAGGCTTAAATTCCTAATAGTACAAAAGGTCTTCCTAAATTGGCACACAAGAAGTATCCAGTAGAAAAGCTGGTAAAAGGACCTATAAGATGGCTCAGCAGATAAAAGTATCGGTGGCAAGCCTGACCACCTGAGCCCAGCCCTCCAGAACTACATTGTACAGAGAGCTGAATCTTGTGACTTGTCCTCTGACTTTGTCTCAAGAATATAAACAAACAACAAAACAAAGCTAAGCAGGAAGATATGAATAATCTATGAAGTTTTTCAGCTATGTATGAATGTTTTGCCTGCATGTAGAATGTGAGCCACACACATGCCTGATGCCCACAGAGGCCAGAAGTCATCAGACCCCCTAAAACTGGAGCTAAGGAAGGTTGTTAGCCTCCATATGGTTACTGGGAACTGGTTGTTGTTGTTTTTTGTTGTTTGTTGTTGTTGTTGTTGTTGTTTTGTTTGAGACAAGGTTTCTCTGTGGCTTTGGAGGCTAGCTCTTGTAGACCAGGCTGATCTTGAACTCACAGAGATCCGCCTGCCTTGGCCTCCCGAGTGTTGGGATTAAAGGCATCCCTGGCTGGATACTGGGAACTGAACCTCAGTCCTCTGCAGGAGCAGGAAGTGCTCTTGACTGATGAGCCATCTCTCCAGACCCCAGATAAATATTCTATCATTCCACAAATATCAGAAGTAGCCCTTGTGAGCTGGGTGTGTTGTATAGAAGGCTTGCCCAGCACATGTGAGGCTCAAATCCTAGCACTACAAGAATAGGAAAATAACCAGCACCTAGGTCAAGAATGTTTAAAAGACACAGTTAAAAAAAAAAAAAAGAAAAAAAAGGAGCTGGGTGTTTTATGCACCTTTAATTCCAGGACTGCAGAGGCAGAAGCAGGTGGATCTCTAGGAATTCAAGGCCAGCCTGATCTACATAGCAAGTTCCAGGCCAGCCAGAGCTACACAGTGAGACCCAGTCTCAAAAGAGAAATGTCTATGCGTATTAATTATGTCCTGTAGCCCCCCCCCCTTTTTTTTGAGACAGGGTTTCTCTGTGTAGCTTTGGAGCCTATCCTGGCACTTGCTCTGGAGACCAGGCTGGTCTCGAACTCACAGATCCAACTGCCTCTGCCTCCTGAGTGCTGTGATTAAAGGCATGCTCCACCAACGCCCAGCGTCCTGTAGCCTCTTAAGAAGAAGAAAGTAAGGAAATTCAAGTGGACAATAAACCAATAAACATAGAGTGTGCCCAAGTATTTTTAATGAAATAAATGCTGCTGGTAAAGGCCTGCACTAGCACACCAATTCATAACTCTCATCTTCAATGTCAGTTAAGGATCTGTTTTATCAACTGTTTTCTTTTTTGATTAGACTGTCACTTCCCCAACCCCAGAAATCTCCAAGGGAAACAATGAAAGCAAGTAAGTAGAGTCAGGATCTGAATCTTGGCACACCTAAGACTGAACCAGAAGATAAAATAATACAGAGAGATCCTGCAAAATCTCCCTTTCTTTCTAAAGTTGACATTTGATTTATTTTTTAATTAAAAATGTTGAAATTTATTTATCTTATGTAGGTATGTATGTACACCATGTATGTGCCTAGTGTCAGAAGGCGTTAGAAGAGAGCATTGGATCTCTTTGAACTAGGGTTGTGGTTCTGGTAATTGAACCCTTGTCCTCTGAAAGATCAAGTACTCTTAACTGATGAGCCATCTCTCCAGTTCTTGACATTTGATTTAGCAACACATGGAAGTACATGTTTGTCCGTAGCTTCACAAACAGTACTTTATCAGTTTCTAAAATCTTCCCTAGTCTGAATGGTATTTTGATTTGAATTTTCTGATTTTGAATGCCTGCGAACATCTTTTTACAATTTTATGAACCATTCATATGTCCTTTTTTCACTTGTGATCTATTCAATTTGTTTGTATTTCAAGACAGGTGTGTAGCCCTGGCTGTCCTGGAACTCACTCTATAGACCAGGCTGACCTCAAACTCAGAGATCCTCCAGTCTCTGGCTCCCAAGGGCTGGGGTTAAAATTGTGTGTCACCACCCAACCCTATTAAAATTGTTTGCCATTTTTTTTCAAGATTTTAAAAAAAGATTTCTATTATTTCTTTCTTTGTTTTTAATGTTATGTGCCTCTCTGTGTGTATGCCATGTGTGTGTTGGTGTCCTTGGAAGCCAGAAAAGGTTATTGGGTCCCTGGAGCTGGAGTTAGAGGCCATTGTGAGCCATCATGTGAGTGCTTGAAACTGAACCAGGGTCCTCTGCAAGAACAGCAAGTGTTCTTAACCACTGAACATGTCGAGAGTCCCTGATGGTGTCCTTTCCTTAGAGGGCACTTCTTTGGTGATATAAATCACAACTACTGCCTCAATTTAGCCTTTGATCATGCTGATGATGATTTTTGTACCTACCTTGCTTATTTTATGTTATATTATTACAGTATTTATTTATTGAGACAGATATAGCGCCTGTTGACCTGCCTCTG